TTAATTCCAAATCAGAGAAGTGACTTAAAGAGGGATTTAAAGGTTGGAATGAATGAATTAAAGCAGGCAAGATGAATGAGTGGATGAAGAATTTAGAATAGCAATGCAACAGTGCTTGCCAATGATGCAAGAATAATAGAAATTGGAATTGTGTCATAAATGAGGTAGTCTTGATTGAAGATTGTAAGTTGACATATAATGTAACCATTTGTAGTTGAAATGACTAAGTTGTTAAATAAATAATAAAGGATTTTTGGAGAAATGGACTTGATAGATTAAGAATTGTTGACTAAGGTTGTGAAGGTGGTCTTGGAAGTGGCTTTTGGATTAGTATCTTTTTTATAGAGTGAATTAGATAGATCTTGAAAGCTTTTAAAAACAATATTACAAAATTTATAAGAGATAATGATATAGCAAAATTTGGAAGTGAACACAATTGAATATCCATCATTAGTTAGTTTTCTAATACAAAGAAAGTTGTTCTTTATTGAGAATACATAAAAAACATTAAAGACTTCTTAATTGTAGGAGAGATGAATATGACAAGCTTCAATGATTGGGAGCTTTGATCTTCCTATAGAAGTAATAATAGTCACATTAGAGGGTGTAGAAAATTAAGATAGATTCTTATGTTGATTGATGAAGTAAGAGCTAACATTGGATTTAATGATCTATCATGTATCTTCAATGTGTGACAGCATGGTGACCAAATTTACCTCAAGCATGTTCCTATTGTTATTGTTTGGAGCATTATCTTTTAAGACATCAAAGATTTGTTCATTTGCGGTGTAACTTTGCTACTTAAATTGAAGTTTTGAAATAGTACTCTAGACTTCCTAGAGTTTTGCAAGTATGAAATAACAAAGTTGAAAGTGGGTCTCTTAATTTGACAATCAATGTTAATGTAATAAAGGCAATTATAGTGTAAGCATTAATGAAAGGTAGATAGACCACCTTAGCATTTTGTGGTCGTTTTTGTTGATTGTTTGAACTTGTTGTAAGAAGTAGAGGTAGCAAGTGGCTCATATTTGGTCAACATAACTAAAAACTTCTTTATTAGTTGAACTCTCTACTAGAAATCTTTTGATTGCATAATTTTTCTTTGCTACAATAATTGTAGCAATTATAGCAATTAATAATTATTCTTTGATACAATTATGGTACTAAATAATTCTAGTAATTGTAGCAATTATTAATTATAATTATAGAAGTTAATAATTGCTATAATTATTAATTATTATAATTAATAATTTTTATAATTGTAGCAAGAAAAATTATAGAGATAAAATCAAGAAAGGCTCTTCTAAATGTGGAACTAGATACCATGGATCTAGACAAAATTGAGCTTATTATTAATGCAATAAGTATGCAAATGTTCCATATATTATTGACAATCAATATGTATTTGACTATAAAAGATAAAATGGAGTAGTTTCTAGTTCCTCATGAAAATTGAACTTGGTGAGATCCATCATGAAGTATCAAGTCATCAAATCATGAACCTTCTTTTGATACCATGAAGAATACAACCATTATTTTGTTAACTAAACTAACTATGTTACAGTGAAACTCAACAACTTTGTATATTTTAAGGGAGTGGGAGATTATATCTAATTAATCTTTAAGACTAATCTTAACTTATAACTTATAGAGTAGTACTTAGTGAAAGTGGGTGACTATCTCAATGGTAGAATGTATTATTATTGTAATGGCAGATATGACAATTTAATTCCAATAAAGCATAAGCCGAAGAACCTATGGCTAAATCTGGACAAGGGATAAGATTGCGAGAAAGGGAGGGAGAAGCGACTAGGTGAGGCAATGCAAAGAAAAGCAAATCGATCTCTAAAATAAGCAACCAATAGAGATCCCAAAACCACCTGAAATCGATGGAGTGAATTCCACCAAGTAAAAACGACTGAAACCAGAGGAGCTGGCCAGCGGACCAATCATGCATGCAGTAAGTCCACGCCAAAGGAGGAGGTAGGAAACTGACGAAGCAAGCCAGCGAGAGGAGAGACACATACAGAGACGGACTGACAAACGAAACGAAACCAGACCAAACGAAAGAGGAAGTGCGAGCAGCCGAAACGGGTGCAGCAAGGGTGAGCAAGCAACCCCGCCACCACCCAACGGGCAATGCAGAAAAGAGACGAGGAAGGGGAAGGGAAGAGGACGAGGAGGCCCCACGGGATTGCATTCCGAAAGGGGGGCTCCCTCCCTCCATGCACATGGGCACGTGCTCCACCCAAACACATACCAGAGACAGCACGTGCTCCACCCAAACACATACCAGAGATAGCCGTTTCCATGACCCACACAGGCACGCATGGGGAGGGAGATCAACGCCGTGCCCATCTGGACCACCGCGGGCCACCACCAAGATCTCTCTCTGTCCCTCTCTCAACCGACAGTCCAAGCTCCTCCGGTCGGGCGAAGCGGACATCCATGCCCGTGACCCGTAATCACCAATCCCCCCCCCCCCCCCGCAAACCCGATAAATTCCGCATCCACTGTGCCGTGCAGTGGCAGGGTCCTTCTCCACCGTGGCCCGGGTGAGCCCCGACGCCACCCGTCGAGCCCGCGGGGAGGGCATGTGCTCGCTTAGCAGATTCATGTTGCGTCTGCCCCTTCCGTCGCCGCCATTTTCGCATCCGATTGTCCTTTCCGCCTTCGGCACCCTCTTCTTATGTTTGCTTTGCGTCTCCGGGAGCGTGAGTGCAGTGTGCTGCTGATCCCGGAGTCTGCTCTCTCTCGTCTTCGCTGTCGTTGATGGCGGCCGTGGTGTGCCGGTAGTGCCTGTATCTGCGACGTGGCTGGTGGTCGTTTGGTTTGGCTGCGGAGGTTGGTGTTGTTTGCTGGTTTTGCTGGTTGGATCAGAAGTGTGGCAATTGGGGGTGGACAGGATTGTTTGGTGGGGTCGGTTTTGGATTGCAGGCGGGGTCGGGAGGAGGTGGATTGCCTGGGCGTTTGTTTGTGTTTGTATGGCGCATTGCGTGGGCGGGGAGGAGGTAGTGCATGAAATTTGAAATGGTGGGGCGATAGTGTGAGAGGTGGCTTGGGAGTTGTCGACGATCGGGTGGTGAAGGCGACGCGAAGTGTGGCGTTGCGTGTGGTAACCCGAGAGAGGGACTGTTTTGGTGCGCAGGGCTGTTGCAGTGGTAGAGTGAGTGTGGTGGGGAGGTGGTGCAGCGGCAGGCGAGGGCAGCAGCCATGTCGTGGCAGTCGTACGTCGATGACCACTTGATGTACCCGCTTCCGACGGGGCATAGTCTGGTGGCCGCCGCCATCATCGGGCACGATGGAAGTGTTTGGGCGCAGAGCGAGATGTTTCCGCAGGTGAGACCTTTTGGAGGAAGAGGTGGTGCGATTTGTGGCTGGTGTGGGGATGGCACAATTGAGAGGGACTGAGAGTGGAGAGGTGTTGTCCGCGTGGCAATGATGTGTTGCGGGGATGCGTGGACCCGAATTGGCGCAGTTGAATGGTGTTGGGGAGTGGATGCGATCAGTGGGATGGATTTGCGATCGTTGAGATGCGTGGGTCGGTGGATGGGTTGTCGGTAGGGGTTGGAGAGAGGGGGAGGGGTGAGTTGTATAGTCGTGGCAGCAGGCGGAGGTGTTGGTGCAGTGGAGGGCGGAGTGATTTGATGCAGGAATAGTAGGAGTTGGCGTGGATGGATGTTGCGGATCCGTAGGAAGGTGGAGTGAAGAGGAGGAAGGTTTAGGTGTGCGGAACGAGTAGGATTGTGAGAATGAGGTGTTCCAGCACTGTGGGTTGATGGATTGGGTGTTGGGGAAGGAATGAAGGGATGTGGTGAAATTGAGATGGTCGGGGAAGCGTGGGATGGCAGGCGCATTGTGAAGCTGGAGTCCGTTGTGGCAGGGAATGGGGAGTAGCCAGGAGTTGATGTGAATGTGGTGAGCGGCGGTGCGGTTTGGGATGTGTGTTGTGGTGGGGAGGTGGGATGGCGAGCGAGGTGAGTGCGGAGTGTGTGATGGTTGGGGAATGATGTGGCAGTTGAGCTCAACGGAGGTGGAAAAGCTTCTGGATGGTTTCGAGGACGGGAGCTTGCTGGCCGAGAACGGGCTGTTTTTGGGAAGCGCCAAGTACATGGTTCTGCAGGGTGAAGCTGGCGTTGTGATCCGGGGGAAGAAGGTACGGTTGGGAGTGACAGTGGATGGTGTTCGGGTGGGAGATGAGAGTGATGGGGAGAGTGGATTGCGGGGTGTGATGAGGGCGGCGGGTGTGGGTTGAGGTGGTAGCGAATGAGGAAGTGGGTGTGGTGTTGGCACAGGGTGCAGGAGGGTGCACAGTGAAGAAGACGAACAGCGCGTTTGTGATCGGGCTGTACGACTATCCAGTGACGCCGGGCGAATGCAACATGGTGGTGGAGAGGCTGGGGGATTATCTGTGCGATCAGGGGCTTTGAAGACGAATGGAGCAGCGTTGATGCGGGAGAAGCTGGGTGGGAGCAGGAGCTGGAGCGGTTGAAGTATTATAACGGTTTGGAGCGTATAGTAATGTGCATTGGAACGGTGGGATAGCGGTGTGCGTGAAGTCCCGCCGATGCGTTGGGTGGGCGGGAAGTGAGTGGTAGATATTTGAGTTGTCGACCGTGTTTAGAGTGTGAAGACTTGAGGATGATAGAGAGAGAGATGGGCGATGGAGCTGCGGCGGAAGGTTGGGGCGAAGATGAAAGGGAAGTTGTGCAGCATGGAGTTGGATGTGGTCCTTGAGCAGCGGGTAGTCTCTGCGGAGGGTGGGTAATTTCCGTGTCGATGGAGCGAGGATGTGGCGGGTGTTGCCACGTGGGTGGTGTCGGGAGTGCCGGTCCGGTGGAGGACATTTTTCGTAATCGCAGTCGCCATGGTTGATTTGGTCCGGGAGCAAGTACGTGATGGTGCCGAAACTGTTAAGAAAGTGATCAACCATGTAGGAGCAGCTACATGGTAATCTGGGGCACTCATTGTGGAAACTCAGCTTGGGCACTGCCAATGCAATGAAGTTTTGTTCTGGTTGTTTTGTATTTTTGTACTTGTTTTGTATGGTGTTCTGGAAGCAAACCAATGGACGTTGATCATTGTGTTCTTTTCTGGGTGGAGGTTTCGATATTTGAGGTGTATCTCTTCGTGTCCATGTACGTAGAGTTTGACGTGGTTGATGTAATGTGTGTTCGTATTGTGTTCAGTTTCGCTTGTTCATTTGCAATAGATGTAGTCACTGACACGAGTGGTAGTCATGGATTCAAGAATGACATCGGAGTAGTAGGGTAGAGCAAGTGATCAGTAGTGTCTACTTGGGTACTTGTCAAATGGCGATTGGCATTACTATCTGAATAGGGATTGTAAATGAATCAGGTTGAAGTTTTTTAGGTTAACGTGTGCTTGATGCGTAGCTATGCTCTCCCAGAAGTCGGCTGAATCCCAATCCTTGATTGTTGTGCAGTGGGTCGGTGAAATCTCGTGTCTATGCCTTCATTGTTATACTGCAGTAGCCAAGACCATATTCAACAATGAATATGTCCATATCATGGCAGTCCGTATTTGGCTCTTGCATGTGGTGGATTCCTTAGCTATTGATGCATTCGATAAATTTAGATTTGACTAGAGGACACTTTTTAATCACGTAGTCACATCGGTAAGGCATTAGTTTTGTTATTATTCATCTTCTTGAGACAATTGTCGAACATGGTTCTACTATTGAGATTTGATTTACCATCTTTATCAATAGCATTTTGCAATATTAGGTGCAATGTATCATTTTTTAAAATATTTTAAGCTTATTGTGGACCAAAATAAATGTAATTTCACAAATCTTTGTTAATCACAAAGTCATGACATATTGTATAGAAATTTGTATAAATAACAATACGTAATGTCAAAAATTTAAAATATTGAATCAGATGTAAAAGAAATTTGTAATTGTAATACCAATCGAATAGCAAAAAAATTGCACCTTGAATTTTTTATCACATATCACAAAATTACACTTAAAGAGTAAAGGAAAAAAAAAAGAAGAAGAAGCACGTGAAAATTATTAGAACTACCTAGAATGGGTTAATATGGTTATAAATTGTGGTTTTTTTTTTTAAAAATACTCAAAATTGATTGTTTATGACCATAGTTTTTTACTGCTAATTAGTATAATAAAAATAAGACTATTTTAAAAAATAAATTGTCTTGTATAATCCATGAACTTTTTTATACTTTCAAAATATCATACTTTAAAACTATATTTTTGTGAAATTTCTTAAATATAAAAATATAATAAATTCACAATTAATGTACCAATATATATTTCATTCTTTCTAAAATGATGGTTTGCAAAAACAATCTTAACAAGGTATAAACTATTCTAAATTTGACAACTTTAAAAACGAAATATATTGTTGAATTTTTTTTTAAATTTATAAATTATTATTAAATACTTATTATAGAATATTCCTAAGTTGCTACTTAAAGTATACAATTAACTTATAAAGGCAAATTAGAATAGAATCAAGGTACAAATGCCACATTTGAAGGTTTAAAATAAATTTTGCCTTATCTCTTATTGTATGCAGTTCAAGTTTTGAAATTTTCATTTTTCAAAAATTAAACGCATTAGACTTTATATCATAATTAGCTTAATGATAAATTTATATTGATGAAAAAAATTATTCTATTATTTTTATTGAATATATTTTGGGCAATCTAGATTAATCATAATATCTACAATAAATAAATCATACTATTGTGGATTAATTTCAATTTTGCTATTATTTTTTAGAATATACTTCTATTTTTTCCTAATTTTATATGAGTCACACTAATCTCAATTACTTTAATGAAGAATTTATTTTAAATTGTTGCTTAATCAATTAGAATACATTTTTGTCACAATTTATTTAGCACCACTTATTGTCTTAGATAATATTAATGTTCATTAGATACCTTGTCTGAATTTTTATATCTTTCACCAAATGAGATAATAGCCATGTGTATTTAGCAATAAATATTTATTTTAAAACCAAAGTAATTTTAAGATTAAACATTAAAGTTAAAAATTCTATTTGATACTTTTTTCTTGATAATTTTTTAAATATATTTTAAGAATTATTTTTTATATTAAAAAGTATATCTATCTTAATTTAAATATTTTTATCTTCAAAAAATATATATTCTTTTATATAAATGACATTTAAATGCTCCAAAAGAACTAACACAGTTTTATATCCTTTAAGCACAACATTTGTTTGCTAATTATGATTATTTTCTATAAATTAATAATTTTGATATTTTTAAAGTTATAAATATAAAAATAAAATATTTAATAAGTAGAATACTTTAACTTTACATAAAATGACAATGTAGCTAAAGATTTTTTTTAAATAATAAACAATCAATTCAAATATCTTTAGAAAAAATAAAATAAAATAAAATAAAATAAAAATAACATAAGATAACATAACATAACAAGTAAACAACAACAAAAACCTCTATTATAAGTAGGCGATCAAATATGATTACTTTATTGTGACATCAAGGCTAACATATTTATATAATATAATATAACATCAAAGACTTAACCTATTTATTAACAAAAATTAATAATCTAAATTTATTTAGTATTCTATATAAGTCTTATTAAAATACTACAATGAAATTATTAAGAAAGAAAAAATTACTACTAATTTCTATTTAAATAGGTAAAAATCAAGGATTTAAAGTTTAAAAAAGTCTTAAATACAAGACTATCTTATAATGTAGTGGGATACTATTTGTAAAAGTGCAAATATGATGTTATTAGAAACACATGGCAACTATTTAAAATCTTTAAAATAATCCACCATTTTATTTTTAAAAATAAATATTATTAAGATCTATAAAAATCAAAGATCTAATATTGAAAATAAAATGGTATAAAACAAGAAATAATAAGTTGAATAATTTCTTTTTGGAACTTCTTTGCAAACTAAAAAAAGCTTATAAGATAAAATTTATCATAACAACTAATATTTTCAAAATTATAAGTTGAATCAAGTAAGATGTGATGATCTTTACAATTTCAAAATCAAAATGAAGATCTTCAAAAAATAACATATTTTTTTTTAGATAGATGGCAAGTTATAATATTTTGTAATTTTATAACCTTAGCACATAGTTTCAATGTCAGATTACATTTGGTGCAAACATCCATATTTACTCCAATAATTATTTAGATAATATGAATAGATAAAAATAGATAAAAATAAATAAATTTGATAATATTTTATAGAAAAGCTTTTTAGAAGCTTCATAGACATGGCTTTTGTTTTTAAACATGTGCATAGATGATTGATAGATTAGTATCACAAATCTTCTAATCTCAAGTCTTTACAACTTTATATTTATGATAGTAGATCGTTTCACTAAGATAGCATATTTAATACTATGTATAAAATCTATCTTAAGTAAATCAATAATTAAAAAAAATTATGGGTGTTATAGATTGCCAAGGGATATTATATTCAATAAAAGGATCCAATTTGTATCAAGATTTTACAAAATTCTCTTTAATACAAAATTATCTTTGGCTTTTCATTTTCAAACTAATGGGCAAATAAAATAGATGAATCAAGTTTTGAAGTAGTATTTGAGATGTAACATTAACTACCTTCAAGTTGATTGGACAATTCTTTTATCATAAATAAACTTTTTTATGATAACTCAATACATTCTTCTATTCAATAAATACTATTTTTTGTCAATTATGGTTATTATTCATAACTTGATACTTTTGACTTTTCAAAAATTGATAATCTTGTGGCAAAAGATTTGGCAATTTATTTATTAAAGTTATATGCAATAATGAAGATACAATTAAAAAAAACTTAAGAACAAAAAAATATCAATGTAGATGCCTTTTGCAAAAAATATCAATTCCACAGTAGTAATAAAGTATGGTTACTTTGTTGTAATATCAAAATTAGTTGCCCTTATGAAAAATTCAATTATCATAGTCTTGAACCATTTTTCATTTGTGAAAAAGTCAATTTAATTGATTATTAATTACAATTACCAGAGTTTGTGAAGATCCATCTCCTATTTCATATGTCTCTTCTTGAGTCGTACAAGATTGTGAATTTTTTGGAAAGAAGTCAAATACTATCTCTTTATGTAAAAGTGAATAGTAATTAAGAATTTAAAGTCAAAGAAGTCTTAGATTCAAAGCATCACCAACTTAAGTTAGAATATCTTGTTTATTTGGGTGGACATGATATTACTAAACACACATAGAAGCTAGCCAAAAATCCTACCAATGTAGTAAAGATGGTCAAAGCTTTTTATCAATGCATCCATTAAAATCAAAATAAAGAGTAAAGTAATTTTTTGAAATAAAGAAAATGAATTTTGATGAAAATTGCAATATATGTTTTATCCTTGATTGTAGTTTCTTTCTATTTATAATATTGAGGAGATAAAGAATCAATAATTAATAAATTCAATTTAAGAATTATTATTTGTTGAGTTATTAGACAAGATGTTGGAATTGTCACAATCTTTAAGTTGATGTAATTAAGATGAAGACCCTCAAGTACAACATGTTTTTTTTTCAAATAAAGAGAAATACAATACCTTTGGTATCAAGACCTTAGAAGAGACTCCTAATATTTGGTGATATTATTAAAAATATGAACTACTCTCAATAGTATTTCAAATATTTTATTTGAAAGAAGTTATAAAGGCCTTAATTATGATCAAATATTATGATGATCTTCTTGCTCTAATAGAAAACATCATTGCTAATTGAGACGACCTATAAACTACCTTCAAAGGAAATAAAGATCAAAGTATGAAAAAAATATAGTTCATTGCATCTTAAACTTCTTCAACATGTAATTGCTACTTTTTATAGAACTCATCTCTAGAAAGCAAGATAATATTATAGATATTTATATTTATTTCAATAATTACTTGAATAATATAAGTATGTAGAAGTAAATAAAAATAGTTAAATTTAATAATATCTCATAAAAAAACTTCTTAAAAGATTCATAGATACATGTATTTATATGTGTCTATAGGTGATTAACAGTTGAAAACTTGGCCAATAAGATGGCCACCTATTGTACATGTTGGCCACTTGTGGAATAAATTGGACATGTGGGACATACATAAGAAACTTCTCTTACAAGTTAGACATATGTTCTGTAAGTTGGCGTGTGTTGGAGGTCCTATAAAACATCACCATATAACTTCTAGTTAGATAGTATATATAAAAGCAAAAGTGAGGTCTTCTTTACTCTTGACAATTCTTTTCTTGCTTCTACTTTAGTTTTAAGAATCTTTAGTTTTTTTTTTTTTTTTTTTTTTTTTTATCTTTTATTAATAGCTATTCTAGTTTCTTTTTAAATATGGACATTTAATTATTTTTTTTGTTAACTTTCTTTAAGAAATATCTCACTTGTTTATTTCTATTCTTTGAGTTTTTTTGTCTTTGACAATACCATTGGACATGGATAATATATATGATGACAATAAAAATAAATTACTTGAAAATAATTATGAAGACTTCCACAATAATCATACAATTAAATAGGATTTTTAGTAAGATATCTCTCAGCCACCTTTATACAATGTATAGATTACAATTTGTTGAAAACACTATTTGATAAATTTTTAACTTTATTTCTTTATTTATTTATTTATATATCAATTGACTTTGTTTTTAGTTTTTTGAATCTATTAGACATGACATTTAGTAAAATCAGGTGTTTCAATCCTTTATATCATTTTCATTTAATTTCTCACAATCGAGTTATTTCAAAGAAGCAATTTGTCATAACTTGAACCGGAGTGCCAAGAACAACTTTAAAGTCAGGGAGGAAAAGGTTGCGAGCCGATCACGACAATGCAAGCAGCACATTCTAGATGAGGCTTGTATGCAACCGACGGCCACGTCAGCGGAAGAGGGCCACGTCAGCGAAGTGGATGGCCTCGTCAGATTCCACCCTCCTGAAGAGCAAAGCCTGACGAGGTGCCACATCTAAATCTCGGACCTCGTTCCAGTCGCGGCCTCGTCGTAGCGGACGTTGGTAGAAGAGGAAAAAGGAGCCGTGACGGTGGCGTCGAAGGAGCCTAGAGAGAGCACAGAGCGCAGACCTCACTCACTCCTCAGCATTCGCGAGTCCAGGGGAATCTGCGAGGGCATGGGGGCACGGGCTTCCACAATTCCGGTGCAGGAGGCTGCTTTCATGATCATTGTGCATTCGGTTTGTAGCCGACGCGCTTCGTGATTAGAGGTAATTCACTGATTCGGATGCTTTGAATGTTGGGGTGCAGTAGCAGCAGCAGCAGCTTCCACCTGCTCTATGTGCCATCCTTTTGAACCTCTCGGCGTTATTCTCGAGCTTGAGCATGTGTATTGTATGATCTGTGTTTTTTATTTATTTTATTTATTTATTCTCTGTTGGAATTGATCTTTGTTTTAAGTACTCTGCCGGGGGTAATGTTCTCCCTTGCGTGTTTTTCGTTTAGGATTTCTCGTTTAGGCTTTTGGGGCACTCAGTTCTGCCGGTTATGTCGTAATTGATGAGTCGAAGAGTCATTATTCCGACGAACTTGCGAAATTTTGGCATGTTTCCATGTTGGTTTGTGTAGTCGCAGAGCTCGCGTGATTGAGGACAAGTGCAGCAACCAGAAGCTGCCCGAGCTCTTGCGATCTAAGCTAATTTTGGGGCTTTAGAGAAGTATCAAGGATGAGTGGGATCGTGCGGCAGGCTCTGCGTGCCAGCAAGTGTAGGGGTTATCAACACATTGGCTCTCAGCTTTTGAACGGGTCAAAAGTATGCTCGCGTAATGCCGCACTGTTTCGGTCGGCAGTTGTGGGTGCCGCACGGCCGGACGCAGTGATAGCGTCTTCAAGAGTACCTTGGGATTACAGCTCCTTCTCCACTAGCGCAGTGAAAGCCGTTAAGGAAACCCCTGCTCTTAAGGCGAAGAATTATGTGGGAGGCAAGTTTGTGGAATCTCAATCGACTGAACACATTGATGTGTTGAACCCCGCAACGCAAGAAGTGGTGAGCAGGGTACCACTCACCACCCACGAGGAGTTTGAGACTGCGGTTGCCGTTGCCAAAGAAGCTTACAAAACATGGAGAAAGACTCCTGTTACTGCGAGGCAGCGGGTGATGCTCAAGCTGCAGGAGCTGATTCGCAGAGACATGGATAAGCTGGCCATGTCCGTAACTTTAGAGCAAGGCAAAACCCTTGCAGACGCCCGAGGTGATGTCTTTCGAGGACTTGAGGTATATAAACTTACTTCTTTAAATTTTAGCTTTTTTGTTTTCAATTAGTACTCCATGGGCAAACGACGTCTGGAAGGGCCCTTTAGTTTATTGTACATGACTCACAGCGCAGCACAGGAATCAAACTTGATATATATTTTAAAAACAATGTATTTGTAGGTGGTAGAGCAAGCGTGCGGAATGGCGAATCAACAAATGGGTGAATTTGTGGAGAATGTCTCCAGTGGAATTGATACGTACAGTATCAGACAGCCTCTAGGGGTCTGCGCAGGTATCTGCCCTTTCAATTTTCCTGCTATGATCCCTCTTTGGATGTTTCCTATGGCGGTCACGACAGGCAACACATTCGTCTTGAAACCTTCAGAGAAAGACCCAGGAGCAGCGATGCTCCTGGCAGAGCTGGCAACTGAGGCAGGGCTTCCCCCGGGCGTGCTCAACATCGTGCACGGCACATACGACGTGGTAAACCAGATATGTGATCATCCTGATATCAAGGCAGTTTCATTCGTGGGCTCCGATGTAGCTGGCATGCACATTTACTCGCGTGCCTCGGCTACCGGCAAGCGTGTCCAATGCAACATGGGTGCGAAAAACCATGCTGTGATCATGCCAGACGCAGATCCCGAAGCAACATTGAATGCTCTTGTCGGAGCTGCGTTCGGAGCGGCAGGACAGAGATGTATGGCAATCAGCACTGCCGTGTTTGTGGGAGACTCAAAGAGATGGGAAGAAGGCTTGAGAGAGCGGGGCGTGAAGCTGAAAGTTACCGGAGGAACGGAGCCTGGGGCAGACTTGGGTCCTGTTATTAGCAAGCAATCTAAGGAGCGTATCTGTAGACTTGTGGAATCTGGCGCCAAGGCAGGGGCCAGGATTGTTCTCGACGGGCGTGGCATCAAGGTTGGTAATACTTTCCTTGTCAGTATACTTGTCAACTCTTGCTAACTTGGGAGCCATAAATGCTTACATCATTAATTTTGCATCTACTGGCTGAATGGAAACTCAAGACAAGTTTTCTGAATATGTTTGATGCATCTACGCTTGAAATTTTTGTTTCAAACAAGATAGTTGTCAAGTTGCCATTTTTTTCTAGACTTTCTTGCACTTAGATCGTATAACGTTACATTTGTACACCAGATGCTCCCCTGTGATGCTTGGTAAAGGTCTTAATGCGAGCATTGGTCGGTTATATGTGTTCAGGTTCCTGGATACGAGCAAGGGAACTTCGTGGGTCCAACTATCTTGGCAGATGTGACGGAGGACATGGAATGCTACAAGGAGGAGATCTTTGGTCCTGTACTTCTGTGTATGGAGGCCGCTAGTCTTCAGGATGCAATTGAGATTGTGAACCGGAACAAGTATGGAAATGGGACTGCCATTTTCACCAAATCGGGGGCTGCAGCACGAGCTTTCCAACATGAAGTTGATGCTGGTCAAGTGGGTATCAATGTCCCGATTCCAGTGCCCTTGCCTTTCTTCTCCTTCACAGGGTCCAGAGGTTCGTTTGCCGGTGACCTCAACTTTTACGGCAAAGCTGGAGTACATTTCTTCACTCAGATTAAAACAGTTACTTCACAATGGAAGGAGAAAGACTTACACGGAGTGGCTATGGCATTCCCTACTTCAGGAAAGGTGTAAGGGGCATTCACGATCTCAAGCCAGTGAATAGGAAAAACTTCTGAGTCTCGAGTGCAACGTGCTGTGCTTATAATGATTGAAGGTTTATCATTCTGTTGCACAGATGTAAATAAAGATGGAAGACTGGAATGGTTCAGACGTGACCCATCAGTTTCTTAGAACATCTTGCTCAGGCACTCGAGATACTCCTTGTTGAGATGTTAGGAGCTAACGGACAAGCCATCCACAGTTTTCATTCAGTCTGCGTTCCATTTCATAAACAATTTGGCTTTGAATGCACTTACAAATCGATTACAATTCTATATTTATAATGTGACCTGAATTCTCCACTTACACAATTCATAACAAAGGGTTTTTTTTTTTTTTTTTTTTTTTTCTTTTTTTCTTGTTTTTAAACCGAGTTTAAATATCCACGAACATGCTCAGAACATGGAAAATTTGGATGGTGACTTCAGAGGGCGACGCTCTCTGTGGATTTGACAGGGGAATGGGTGTGGCCAGGTGCATTTATGAAGAAACGAAGCCATTAACGTCCATTTTTCAGTGATTAAATCATATTTCAAACAAAACTAAGCCAAATTTTAACAAGCTGAATTGAAAAGGAATAACTTAAACTCATGAAAGTATGTGAGTATGTCTTCAAACGCAGTTCAGCATCTTGTGGTAGACGCATGGAAAGAAGGGCTATTCACTGCTTTCCGATTCTATTTTGTGCGTGAGTTGTAATTACTAAAATTATCATTATAAACATTTTAATTCAATCTTTTCAAAATTATGCGTAAAGTATGACAATGTCACTTTTGTTCAGCATTTGTCAACTTCTGAGCATTCATGTAGCAATAGTGCTGCAAAAGAACTTTGAGGTCCAATTTGTATTACCAAATTAATTTTCTTTAAAAGTAACCATATACTTCTTGTGCCACATACATAGATCTGATCAATGTATTCATATGTTACTAAATGGAAACAGTGATTATTTTATTATTCGTAACTTGATAGTAACAAATTTAAATTCTTAATACCTGCAAATACATACAAACATACTTATATAAATAATAACTTTTCAAAGAAACTCATGTAATTAGACTTCCGCTCGAAACACAAACATTTGCTCAGTGATCAAGAAAAGAATCGTATAAATATCAAAGCAATCAGGGAAAATCGCCTTTATCTCATTAGAACAAAAATTGAGTTCAGCATTTAAAGTTTTTGTTGCTCAAATGAGACATTTCGAATCATATATTGTAATACGGAACTTAAGGCATTTTTGCATTTAAACATCTGAGAGCATTGACTCATCATGGACCACAGTGAGAATCAGCACCTTGTTAAATTGTACTGAATGGATGAAGTTGAGCTCACGTGTATAACCTGGTTTCTCAAGTACCGGTGCTTAAAATGTGACTTAGACGCTGATCTGCCATCTCGTATAAATTCGTAACATACCATGAGAAGATTTGAGATAGCACAAACAGCTCAGAGCAACATCATTTACTGTAATGTTGTTGACAGCTGTGTATGACGCAAGTAACCCAGCACAGGATACGTGTCTAAACCAGTAATCGCATGATAGTTGATACGGCGAAAAGCTGCAAGACCTAGAATTACAGCAGTAGAATCATAAAGAACTACCTAACAAATAACAGAACCGCTTTCGTAAACTCTGGCATTCCTTAAATTGTGAGTTGATAAGCTCTCGCGATCTCAAAAGGGAATCACAAGAAGAGAGACATGTCTACTCTGGCTGGACTATTACTCGAACGAACAAGAGCTGGAGTAATGCCACGATAGGCTTCGCAGCCAAATCAAAGGTTCTCAAGTCAAAATCCCAAAAGCATAGTAACTTTTACTCAATAATATCCTAAACAAATCTGTTCAGAATCTAAGCTGGGAAAATTTTCGATTTATCGGTCCTTCTAAGGAATCATGCGTCTATGAAATGAAACTTATACTAAACAGAGGCGGCATGGGCAACAACACATAAAGGCTGGGTACTAAGCTTAGCAGAATTCTGCCGCTACATGCAGTCTCCTCCAAAAGAGATGCATTTCATGCATACTTCTCTAACCGGCAATAAGACAAGAATTGTACACAATTCAAATCACATTTCCAGGAAGACAACTACGAACGAAAATATCGCAGGATTGTAACGTGTTAGCCCGCTAAGAGTTTAACTAACTACCTACTTACGATGCCGGTCCCGCCTTCTCAACTTCCTCTGCTTGTGTTTGTTCATCTTCTTCTTCCTCTTCCGCTTCACACTACTCAATTCCCAACCCTCCTCCTCTTGTCGAGAGGGCAAATACATACCTGATCTCAATCGAAGCCCTAATTTCAAACCGCAATCGGGTTCACATGACTCGCCATTCCAAGCCTGGACTACAGAGAGCTTCGCTTTCACCAATGCCTGAACCCTGACGACATCACTCTCCCAATCGAGCAATGATAACGACGATTCTGGTTGCATGACAAAATTCTCGAAGCGGGTTCTCTCAACGTGGGAGAAAACCCCTTCAGATTCCCGTGGTGATCCATTGCATGAGACGTCAAAATATGGCAACCTGCTCCCTGCCGCTACCACATCCTTCCCTGACGCATCGAAAGAAAGAGGAACGCGAGGGAGCAGGCGTGGAAGTGGACTCTGCTTCACGGGCCAAGGCACAGACAAATGGCGCTGCCAGAGACGGAACATGAGGTTCGCCGCGCGAGATTCCATCGCCAGCGGAGGCAATCAAAAGAACACCATGGAATGCAATGCCAAGCAATGGCGATGCCCTCTCCGTCTTCGTCCTCGATTCGTCCCCCTCAGCTTCGACTACTTCGAAGCAAGCTCCGCACTGGGGAAGGCAATGGCGATGGCGAGACACACAAAAGAAAGAACTTGTAAAACCCTAAACCCTACAAAAGCACACTTGTTTGATTCGGACGTTGTTGTTCGCAAGTCCTGCAGTTCGGGAACCCGTTCCCATCTGTTCTCATGATGCTTGCCTCGAATTCCTTGGCCTTGCCTTCATATTTTCATAATAATAATAGCAATATATAGTAAAAAATAAATTAAATTCTTAATCTAAAAACTGCATCCTTCTTCTTCAAATTCAATAAGCCGTCAGACATGATTCATTACCATTCTGAGGTTGAATAAAGTATTCAACCAATATTTTCTGAATTGGAGTTTTTTAAAATAAATAAATAATTATTATGTCAAATTTACAGTTTCAATTAATTGTGATGCAGTTATTCATTTAAGATAAATCAATAGTATTATTTGAATGGTGTTGTGTTTTTGGAATGTAGATTTTATTTTTATTTTTTTCCAACCAACTACGCTTTTGCAATTACAAACCATGTAAATTATTTGCAGAGTCATTTTTGATAACATTCTATTATTTTCCCATGTTTAGCATGGTTAAAAGCTTTTGGGGAGTGCTTCAAAGTGCATGACTGTTTAATATGAGGGAAAATGACAACTTCATTATGTGGAAATAGTTGGGATATAATTGCATGCAAGTTGGTTGAAATGATTATCATTCAAATAAATTTTTGAAACATGAAAATACAAGCCCTGTCACAATTAGAACATTTATTTTCCTGTGAAATGAAAAAATTAACATTATATTTGATTTGCAAATATATATATATATATATATATATATATAATGGAAGTGAATACAGAAGAACATGTAACAAAAAGTAAGTGTTTTTGAATGCATACAATTATGAATGACTTTTGGATCAGGTTTTACTTTGAATCAAGTTTACTCATGTGTGCCAAAAAGTGCAAAATATAAAATATGAAATCTAAAAAAATCAATATAATTAGTAAAAGGAAACAAATATATTTCAATTTTATCAAGAAAAAGAAGTACTTTTTCCCCTTTTTTGAACAGATGATTAGACGTGTGGATATTTATAATAACTTCAAAGGGGCAGTTCAAACTGGGTTCAACTCGGTTTTTATTGTTTTATTTTTTAAAATATCAGTGAATAAAAATTAAATTCTCAAAAATATTACCAACATGAATTGGTTGATTGATGTAATGTGGTGGAGGAATTGAAAGCACAATGTATGGTTTTACATGATAATGTTGTTGGTGCTTGCAACACATTATAAAATGTAAATTGTTGCTCTTATTCCTTTTTTCAGTATGTACATGCATGAAATATCCCTTAAACCATCGTTCTTTGAACTGATTTTGCATCTCAGTTGCTATTATTACTATTGTTGATATTTTTTGGATACATATTACAAAATAATGACTTGTGAATATTTTTGTCAACTCAACACATATTATTGAGTTTACTATAAATAATATTAGGTTGCATAAATTTATAGAATTAATTAAATTAGCAAAAAATCAACATTAGTTAGAATATGTGCACTTGTTATTTTAATGTAGCAGCACTTAGATGAAATATTCATAGTAATGTTTGAAATGGGATTTTAGTGTACTCTGATTTTCATTGTCTAAAATAAAATGAGTAAATAAACAAAAAATCTAAGATGTTTCTAAAGAGAAATTGATCTTATGACATTGCCCATGGTGTAACATTTCCACCACCACCACGAACAACAACAATAACTAAAGAGTCACAAAAAGTACACACAAACACACATACACACACACTAAAACTTGATTAAGTTTGGTTTCAAATTTGTATTTTTTATATATTATTCTCTTAATCTTTATCCACAAGCCATCCCCCTTGTCCAAAATATTCCTATCTTTGGCTGACAGTTTGTATTAATCAGCATCTGTATTGACAGCATAGACGACGAATGAAACCAGGCCCTAGTGAGATGGATGAATATACAAATGATGAACGTACATATGAATGAAAACATGTATATATGTATAAATGGATGGATGATCCAGCTGTAAGCACATCCGGACTTCGTCGCCGTCGCACCTCCGTCATACATCCGTCACATGTCCGTCGTATCTTCGTAATCCTCGTCGTCGTCGTCGTCGTCGTCGTAGTCTTCGTCCAGGCTCGACGAAGCCACACCAGACAAGCATCGTTTAGCACGAAGCTTAAAACAGTAGCACAGACACGTCCAAACCATATTCGTCGTCGCCGACGGCGATGGGAGGGCGGCCTCGGAAGGCTCGGTTCGGGGCCAGTTCATGGATGTGTCTGGGTCTCGACCGCCTCTCATGAAAGCAGCCTTGCCAGTTCAGTTCGGTCATGCACCTAATAGTGTGTGTGAGAGAGAGAGAGAGAGAGAGAGAGCACATTTTTGGTTCCAGCCTGCGATGATTTGGCTGTAGTGAACTTTTTACTTCGAGCGGGGGGAGTGATTGGGCGAATCGCGCGTGTAGCACGATAGAAGGGCTTACTCTGTCGGTATGATTCTGTTCATGAAGCCAAGGGGAATTAAAACGTTTCGACGAAGTGAGGTTGTCCCCGGGCGATGTCTGTAGTGCGTTGTATCAAGTTATGTTTTTACATTTTATTTTCATTTTCATTTTCATTTTCTTTCTTCGTTTTTTCTCAATGGTCTGATTTGCTTCTCTGAGAGAGAGTCGTTGGTTTGAGAGTTTGATCTCTTAGAAGGAACGGTGGATTAGTATGCCGGCAATTTGATGCAGTGTTGGCCAGAATTGAATTGGTAGGGTTGGTGATTCAGCGTCGACCTTCGCCTGTCGTAGAGCATCAGGTGATGGTGGATGTAATAATTTGTCAGTGCTAGGGTTTTGTCACGATCGCACTTGCTTTTGTCGTGACATGTGCCTATTGACACTTTATTATTGTGCACACTAGCTCTGGCGGTGTCGTCACTCTTGTAGAAGTTAGGAATGACATCGTTACATATAGTTATTGGAGGTTTTCTACTGTGTAGAAGTCTGGAGCAGTTTCATAATTGAGCTCCGTGTCGTAAAATCGACATTTAAGGTCGAAGGCATCTAATACCGATTGTTGGATACGATTCATTTTAAGTCCACTGGAGGTTGTTGTTGTGATATTGATTGGCTATTCAAGAAACCTCCGCATGTTTTACAGTCTGGAGTTTTAACAGTACTCTTATTTGCTAGTTAATTAAGGTTGGACATTTGAGAACAACATCGGCGAGGTAGACATTTGAAGGCTGAGATTTGGTTATTCTTCATTCCGTTCAATTTTAGGGCAAAGTACTTAGCTAGTATAAGGGTTATAGTAGGAATCGTATGTTTCTTCCTGAGATCCTGTAAAGGCCCTTGAAAGTTCGTAGATGTTGGTGGAAACGCTGGAAACTCTTACTTCGTGTAACATCCCGTAGAAGCCTAGATGGTCACCTGGTTTGATTTCGGGGAATCGTGGAATTTGAATCAACACGCGAAGCTTGATTGTCCATATCTGACCTGAAGATAATGGTGTGCAGAGACTGAAGTAGGATCGTAAATGGAAGAACCTACTCGAAGAAGTTGTCAGGTATAGTCCCAATTACAACTTCACAAGCTGGTTACAAACTCCCACCGTTTAAATTTGGGCTCAACATCGAGATTTGCGAATTAACCTATTTATGACATGTGAGGTGTGAAAAAAGTTCCACTTACAACTCTTCAATGGCTTAGTCTTGTTTTCTTTGGGTGAACTGTGGCGATCGAAGCACAAGTCGACCCTTTTCACCTTCCTTGTTTATGTCTAGTACTTAGACCGGTGCCGTGTGTTTTAAAAGTAATCTGTCTGGGATTCACAAATGTAGGTGCTGTGTTGTTATTCCCCGCACATTTATGCTGCCGAATTACTGGAAGTATTTGCTATTTTCTGGGATGTAAAAGAGAAGCTCTTGAACGGTTCTATTCAGCCACGTTTAGTGGCTTTAATGAAAGCGCACATTCAGTAATCAATGAGAGGAGCTTGTAGCGGGAGTTTTGATGTTTTGTTAGGTTTACTTCATATTCTCAATAAGACCTGTTTCCGTTCGAGTATTTGATGAATGAATGCGTTGCTGTTGAAGGATAGTTGTTGTTGTTGTTGTTATTGTAGTTTTTTTTTTAATATTTTTTAATTTTTATAATTAAAAGTAGAACTGTTTTAAAATCAAATGGGTTGATTTGCATACCTTTGAGGTAGCAAAAGTCTGGTGCTTTGTCCTGAGAGGCTACGTGCTGTTTTATAAGATTAGTTGTATGCAACGCATGACTTCCATATCCTTACGTTCTAGCTGCGAACGTTGAAACGTGTCAGCCTTTTGCTACTTCTATTTCTATGCATTGAAATAATTACACGGTATTTTCGTTTTCCACGATTTTGCAGAATAGTGATTTACTTTCAAGTAATATTTGTTGCACTTATTTTATTCTCTGTTCTCGGTAATCACCTATAGTATTTATGTTCAGTGATTAATGACTGCAGGACTGAAGCATGGAGGGAAGTAGTAACTATGACCGTGCTGTATGGATGGCACTGGCCATATCTGCTGGTGTAGCAGCTGGAACAGCGGCAGCAGTGACAGTCAGTGCGTTTCCTTATGCATTTGGTGCGGCTTTTACTGCTTTTAAGTCCAAAAGAAAGAAGGAATCCAGGGATCATCGTTATCGGTATAAGTCTGATAAAACCAAGAGGTCGTCCGCTAAACCTAAGGAAAATCAGGCTTACAGGGATGCAGTACGACGATGCTTGTTGGAGTGGAAGGACATCAATATTTCCCTTGATGAATTTCCGTACTTCCTAAAGTAAGTAAAAATTCTCTTTTTGCTTGATATTGGCTGTCTATTTCCCATAGCATTCTGGCATTATGCTCAGGTTTTAAAATTCTCTGGCTTTTTATTTCTTCTGAACTGTTTTGTACCATTAGCAGGACCAGCTTGCAGATGTTAGCTGGGGTAGCGTGACTTCGCATTTGCCTCGAGCGTCTATTGTTGCTGAATAAGTTAACTTGCTTGAAAAATGCAGTGAGAGCACGAAAACTGTATTACTGGATTCCATGTATGTCTTTCTGAAGAAGCCAGAATTCTCTAAATACACAAATGAATTAGGGAGTGTCAGCCCACGCATCTTGTTGACTGGCCCCCTTGGTAAGATTTTTATTGATGTTTGATTCGCTACTTGTCGAAATAGCTTAACAATGTTATTCACTATAGCACAATATCACACGTTGAATCTTTCTAAGCATTTGGAGTATTGTAGAAATTTGATATATATTCATGGTAATGAGACCAGTCTTAGTTTTGGCGTAACTGGAACACTCATTTTTATGGTTTAGACGTCCCATAAGCTTAACTTTATTCTGCATTAGACATACTATCAGTGAGTTTTGGTGTTGACCTTTTTTCTAGTCACAGAAAAGAGAATGTTTATACTAATTTTTCATAATTACAGGTTCTGAGATTTACCAAGAAAAGTTGGTGAAGGGATTAGCTCAACATCTACAAGTCAACATTCTCGTATTTGACAGCACACGTGTCTTCTTGGAGGTGCAGTCTTCTTCCTCTGTCCTTTTATTAACACAGCATTTTACATTCTTCACCCTATTCATCAGAATTGATGGAACTTATTGCATTAGTGAATAGTACCCGAAGAACAAACATATTTGGGCATCAGAAGTGCATATTATCTCGTAGATTTGGTTTTCATATTTCAACTAAAGAAGGGCCGGGCCTATGCAACAGAGAATTGACGGGCTTTTCTTATAAAAAGCGTTAAATGAATTATTGGCATTTAGAATTGAAGGACTCACTTGTTTCCTGAGACCTCGATTTTCTTTAATTTTTGGAATTATTATCGGACTTCTGAGTTGACTTCACGTGCTCATTGAATGTTTTTCTCTGAATGAACTGAACATTGAAGACTTAAAAAATGCAGCTAATGTCTTCTATTTTTGAGCATCAGATTAACACAGGCTTTGATGATTGTAGGCAAGTCAAGCAGTCCCTGCTGTTATGGAGAGGGTAGCTGAGGATTCGTCAGTTGCAAACCAGCATTCTGCAGATGCCCCTACGATCCAACTATTGGACGGTTTAAATGGTGATATCAAAGAGACGGTATGTGATCCTTGAATATTTTGGAGTTCTTATTCCCTGTTTCACTTCTAGATTGTGTACAGCATCCCAATTTTAAGTTTTCTTAGTGGTCAAACTCATATATGCCACTGGTAACTTTGATATTATAGAACAGTAATTCTTTATATGCCCGTCAAGGTTTTGTATATGATAACCTTAAAAAATCATCACTTCTTTACAAACCATGTGTTGCCATAATATGCTTTGTTTCCAGAGAACAAGCTAAAGTCTTTTGAGCTTGAGCTTGTTTGTGTTCGTCTTGACGTCTTAATGGTCTAGTATAGGAGGAATATGTATTACTTCGACTGGATCATTGCAGACTGAACAGTATTCCCTCGACACGGTTGTCAAGAGGCAGAGTCTAAGCCCTAAGTGCTCAACGTGATATCTCTGTTATATTTTGTATAGACTGGGGTACATACCCGACCCGCGATACAAGAGACGAGGTCATCAGAAACCTCTTGCAAAATTTTAAGGACAACATCGTCCACGGGTCCTACTAAAGACTCAGGACCTGAGGGAAGTAGTTTGGGACCGTTGGCTCCGTTGCGTACGAAAACTAAAGGAGACCCGAATGTGGATGCAAAGACTCTAGCGAATGCTGTAGCAGCAGCTGCCGCTGCTTCTGCTACTTCTGTTGAGTCACGTCGGTCTTTAAAGAAGGGTGAGTGTAATAAGTGCGGTCAGTTGATATTAAATGTCAGTGAGGAGTATTTTGACTGGTTGGTTGTTACATCAGTACACGGTTCTCATTTTTCTTTTCATTTAGAGTCTTATATAAAAAGCTTTTCGGTGTGCTTTGGTTTTGCTCTCGGTGCCACTCTTATTTCTCTTTATTCTTGTTTTTACTTTTTATTTCATTTCATTCATAAATTTCCAATGTAGCGACCACATTTGATCAACGTTATTGATATATATTATCCTCTTGTTTCTTCACTTTGACCATGGTATACGAAAGCGGGGATATTGACAAGGTGTGGCATGAATTTAGGTGATCGAGTCAAGTATATTGGAGTTTCCAGTTCAGGTTTGGCTGGGGGACTTGCGCTGATTAGCCATTCTCCCACCTCTGGGTAAGTCCTAAGCTTTCAATTCAAAGACTGTAGGGTTTACCTTCTGGTTAATGAACGCGAAGAGACCTGTGTGGTGTCATGCTAATAAATAGTTTATATTTGTAGAGGCAATAATAATCACGAATGTGTAAATTGTGCTAATAGTGATACTTATTTGAAACTGCAGAAGAGGACCATCGATTGGATCGAAAGGCCGGGTCCTCATGGTGTTGGAAGATAATCCCAATAAAGTTGGGGTACGTTTTGAAAAGCCTGTGTACGGTGGTAATAATCTGGTTGATCTATGTGAAGATGGCCATGGGTATTTCTGCAATGGTGGGTACAATTTGATTCATCCCTTGAGTTCCATATGTTAAGCAAAGTCTGCCATTTTGTTTAGGATGCAGAAGGAGGTGCATGTTTGCTTTGAAACTTTACTACTGTTTCATGTAGCAAAGTTGGGTTGTCTTTGATTGGTTGTTGAAAATTTCTCTGGTTAAATTTGTGAAGATTTGTAATATAGCTAGGATCATGAGTGCAGGAGGCAGCATTTCAATGCTGTCATCAGAAATTTCAGTATGTGCCTTCTTGATAGCTGCCAACGTGTTTCTCATGCAGTGTCAGAGCTTCGGTTGGAGCCTCCTGGAGAAGACATAGACAAATTGATATTGGAGTCGCTTTTTGATGTCAGTGCCCTTGAGACAAAAAAACATCAATTGTACCTTATTTTTTGTCAATCCTTTTCCGTTTCTTCATTCCAGAAGTAGATAATGAGCACAGAATTCGACACTCTTGCAAATTTGTGACTTTAAAGTTGAAGATTTTAACGAAATTGAAATTGAAATTGAAATTGTTACAGATTCTGAAGACGGAAGCTCAAAAGGATCCTTTGATTCTATTTATCCGGAATGTTGAGAAGTCTATTTTGGGAAATTTCGAGCGTTACATGAAACTTGAGACTTTGAAAGATTTACGGTTGGTGGTCATTGGGTCACATACAAGTGATCAGCAGAAAGAAAAGGTGTGCAAAATGTTACTTTATCCACCTTCTTGAGATATTCATATTTGTAACTTGCTCTGATGATGTATTCGAGAATTTTTTTAATGCTCTTCACATGTATCATTTTGGATGCAATCGTATTAATGGTAGTAGGAGGTTGTGCAGGGTAGTGCGAGTTCTTCAACTTCTACAAAAGTTGGGAATAACGTCACTGCCCTCTTGGATCTTTCCTTTTTGGTAAGTTTTGTTGTAATTTAAAACTTATCACTTATAATAATATTAGTTTTAAAATAGATTTATAATTTTATAATTAACAATAATAACCTAATTTAAAGATTTCAAAAACAGCATCTTCTAAAGGGTTTTTTTGGTTATTTGATTGTTCCACTAGACTGGTTATGTATTGACCCATCAGTACGTTTTATCGCAGGATCATTTAGCGTCCCGCATGGAGGACTATAAAGGGGACGGTTCGAAGGCTTCGAAAATGCTTTTCAAACTATTTCCCACCAAGATTCACCTCCAGCAACCTCAAGTAAGTGTGAGGTTCTGAATCTCTTTCTGATTACACGTTTCACCTGTTCCTATTTTGAAGTGTATCATGCAAATTCAGGGTCAGGCACTGATACTTCTGATATGTTTCTGGAGTCCCGAGTTTGGATATTGATTAGCGATTGGTGGCACAATGGTTTTGTTCTTCTGCAAATACGCAGCTACGACATAAGTATTGTCTACAGTGATCAGGGGTGTTAGCTTCCTCCAAACTACACGGTGCCACCTTCAGCTTGTGACGATAATTAGCAAGTAGTGTGGTCAAACCAATGCCCTTGATTGGTGCAGATATGTTACGATTGAAGTGGTTGTCAAAACATCTCAAGTTGAGAGGTTGACTTTTTTGCTGTTTACTTTTGTCCATATCAGTATTGGATAAATGACATGATGACTTTGGAGCTGTTTATGTGCGACTATTATACTCTTTTCATCGCCAGTATTGTTGAGACCTAGTATTTCTTGCAGATTATGGGTATGATGTCTGAGTTTCTTGTCGTGTTATGTGCAGGAAGAAGCTTTGTTGGCTGATTGGAGCAGGCAATTAGAGCTTGATGCTGAGGAGTTGAAAGCAGAGGCGAACAGACAGCAACTTCGCATGGTATGTACAGTGCTTATGACTTGCTGGTTCGATAGTCTCACATCTGAATTGAGATTTGAATACTAGAACTGTTGACGAAATTGCACTTGCTACTGGCCGCTGGAGTTGGTCCATATGAACTATAATCGTTGTGCATTTCCTTGACCAGACTTGTTTTAGCATGCGTTTCTACGTACTTTCGCACATTCTAAAGGCCTAGAAGTTTCATTTGTGTTTTTTCAATTGCTGCAGTGTATCGGAGATAGTGCTGGCACTGAAAGGTCTTCTGTTATGCTGTATTTAGTTTTCTCTCACATGGAATGTGGCGACTTTTTAAGCAAAGTACCTGCTCTAATGGATGTCTATCTTTATGGAACAGGTTATGGGAGCTTCAGGCGTAGAGTGTGATGATCTTGCAAGCATTGATATACGAACTTACCTTCTCACAAAAGAAAGTGTGTGAGCTGATGCTTAGTATTGGTTTATTTTAATTGGGTGAACTGTTAAGTAATTTAATGTTGTTGGGATTCCCGTTTGTGTGGCTGTTTGTCTTCTTTTGTCGTTTTTATTCTTTCTTTTTTTCTTTTCTTTTTTAATTGTGTAGAGTGTTGAACTATTTATTTGTATTTTCGTAATCCCTCACTCCTTTTTTTTTGGTTTGGTTTGGTTTGTTTGTTTGTTTGTTTGTTTGATGTTTTTTGTTTTTGTTTTTGATTTTTGATTTTTGATTTTTGATTTTTTTGATTTTTGATTTTTGTTTTGTTTTGTTTTGTTTTCGTTTTTCGTTTTTTTTGTTTTTTGTGTGGATGTTCTGTTAGATTTAACAAAAATCTGTAAGTTTGCTCACTGGTTCCTGCTGCTTTTGAGGGGCTGCAGTGTCGGAAAAGGTTGTGGGCTGGGGCGTTAGTCACCATTTACAAAATCAGGCTGAGCCGGTTCTCCGCAACAAGAAGCTTGTTATAGATGCACAAAGGTGTGTTTTTTTCACGCTTATGTATGTCGTTACTAGTTTTTGTGAGTATTAGCGATGAACATTACTGTCCCAGAAGTGTATGTTGTGTTTAAAGGTTACTAACTAGATTCATTTGTTAAAGAATGAGTTGTAATCTAATTTGTTTAGGTTCCTCAAAATTTCTTCTTCTACTCAATGCGCGTTTCATGTTGCTCTGTTCATGTATTCTCTGTGCAATGGTTGATGTTGTCCATGTTTTATTGTGGTCACAGTTTGCAGCACAGCTTAACAGAATTGCAGTCCGTTCAGCGGAGTCCTGCTCGGAAGAAGAGCTTAAAGGTACATCCCCTTGAACACAATTAATCTATGCTGCAGGTTGTTATGGGTTTCCCAGTTACCGTGCAATTCTTGCGCTTTTTATTCCGCCTGGTCGGCTAGGCTAGTCTTCGACAACAACCTCATTAAACGTCTTTGTATGGTGTTTTATTATAAAAGATTAAGTTGTGTCTCTTGTCATATGTATCAAGGAGGGTATTGTGTACGGTACGTGGAAGAAAAAAAAAAAAAAAAAAAAAAAAAAAAAATGCTTTCGAGTTATTTAGAAGTGGTATTGACGTTGTGGTGTGGATCAGGATGTTGTCACTGAGAATGAGTTTGAGAAGATGCTCTTGCCGGAGGTTATCCCACCTGATGAGCTTGGGGTAACCTTCGACCACATCGGTGCCTTGGATAATGTGAAAGAAACCTTGCGTGAGTTGGTAATGCTTCCATTGCAGCGCCCGGAGCTCTTCGTCAAAGGTCAGCTGACTAAGGTAAGGCTTTGACTTCTGAATACATAAACCCTTCTATCATGCGAACAGCATGCATCCGAAATCGAATCTTGATTTATCTGGTTAATTATATGTGTTGACATCGTGGTTGACTACCAAGGAATGGATCTTTTCATGAAACAGTGTTTTGAATGCATATCTCTTTTCTGTTTGCTCAGCCATGCAGAGGCCTTTTGCTGTTTGGACCACCAGGCACAGGCAAGACTATGCTAGCTAAGGCAGTCGCAACAGAAGCAGGGGCTAACTTTATAAATATTTCCATGTCCACTATTGCTTCCAAGGTGATCTTCAATTCTTCTTCCTCTTTCTTTAGCCAGTGATGATGAAGCTGGTGAATACCTGCTGAACTCAAGGAATATAATAACGTTAGTTGTTTTAAGTGACATCAGATGTTTGTTAACGCAGATTTTTTCATAGATAGTGTCTTTCTTTCTTTTTTTGTTTTGTTTTGTTTTGTTTTGTTTTTGTTTTTTTTTAATTTTTGGACTTGAACAACGTTTGCAGAATTTTAGTCTCAGCTTATTCATGCATGCTATTGATAGTTCTAATTCTACTTGCAGTGGTTTGGAGAAGCTGAGAAGTATGTAAAAGCAGTTTTTACATTGGCAAGCAAGATTTCACCGAGCGTAATTTTTATTGATGAGGTGGGGTTGCGTAGAATCATATAATAAGCATGCATTTTGAAGAGTAGTTTGGTTGCGTTTGATAAAATCTTACGTTTTTGTAGTGCTTTATAATGGAGCTATGTTACGAATGGCAGTTATCCATAAACGTTCATGGTTCTACTTCTTATATGTGGACGTAGCATTATAGTAACCATGCTTTTGAGATAGCTAAGTTCAACTTCATGATGTGGGCAGGTGGACAGTATGCTTGGACGACGTGGTAAAGATTCTGAGCACTCGGCTATGCGTAAGCTGAAGAACGAGTTTATGGCTAGCTGGGACGGTTTGCGTACTAGAGAAAGGGAGCGCGTGCTGGTTTTAGCAGCGACCAACCGACCATTTGATCTCGATGAAGCTGTAATTCGGAGATTTCCACGCAGGTATTTGTTCGTAACTATTCATCGCGACACCACTAAATGATCCATAATGGTGCTTCACAACAATACTAAGGGGCTTATTTAGTCACTGTACTGAAGTGAAGTTCCGTCGGTGACACATTACTGGATAGCTTGTTACTTTTATCTCTTTTTCGGTTTTGTGCTGGTAGCAAAATGATGTGAATGATCGTATACAGTAAACAATAGATAAGCTATCAACTTTCTTCGTTAAGTTACAAGACCACGCACTAGCACACTATTCTGGCTACACTGTTGACGACTGTATTTTTTAATTTTAATTAACTTTCTGTGCCAACATTAATTTTGGCATTTTGGCGTGTCCATTTCCACTACACAAATCTAATTTTAGAATACACAGCTTATCACTTGTTCTTGTTAACGGGGAAATGCTACTTTTGCAATTCTTTATGAGTGAAATGATGTATCTTCTACCGGAGATTGTCTAGTGTTTGGCTCGGGCATTTGTGAACTGTATTTGCTTCGAAACATTTGCACTTGGATACTATACATCTGATCTGAACTTATTCTCATGTGCAGGTTAATGATAGATTTGCCAGATGCAGATCAACGTGTCAAAATTATGAAAGTCATCTTCGCGAGAGAGCGAGAGAGCGAGAGAGCGAGAGAGAGAGAGAGAGAGAGAGAGAGAGCGAGAGAGCGAGAGAGCGAGAGGTATTTTCCTTCACCACGCGAGAGAGCGAGAGAGCGAGAGAGCGAGAGAGAGAGAGAGAGAGAGAGAGAGAGCGAGAGAGCGAGAGAGCTACCACTAGCGAGAAACAGGTGTATTTGATTAGTACTCTGTCATATTATGTGCTAATAGTTATTTTTACTCTACAGAGTTTATGCACAACTGCTGCATACAGGCGGATAAGGGAATTGCTCGATCAGGAAAAGAAGGTAAAACCTTTAGTTCCATAGTCAATTGAGGAAGTTGCTATATTTGTTAATTTCAATCTATTATACTAGTAGAGGAAATCTCGAGTGCTTCACTAAATGATATTGAGTCTAATTTACCTATATTTAGAGTCACATCTTCATGGGATTTCATCGTGGTTCATGCTTATGTTAATTTCGACCAGGATAAAGAGAGTGCTAAGGCAGCCGGCGTTGAGCCCCCTCAAGTTGAAGCTGGAGTTACGCCTTACATCCGTCCCTTGAGCATGGCCGATATGCGTCAGGCTATGGAGAAGGTAAGATAGATCTTTTAGACGGGAATGTCGTCTTCTGTTTACATTGGTATTGGTTTTTACTGCAATTTCCGAAACCCGTGCTCTGGTCGCTTTTTGTGCAATTAATCGTGTAGTTTGTTGACTGAGCACCTTTAATGTCATCATTGATCTGGATCTTCCGGTCTTGCAGGTGAGGTCCAGTGTAGCATCAGATGCTGGGAGCATGTTGGAGCTTCAGCAATGGAATGAGCAATATGGAGAGGGTGGAACACGCAAAAAGACCACTCTGAGTTATTTTATGTAATATTTTTGTTTATTCTCGGGCACGGCACAACCCTACCTGTCAAGTGAGCATTTCAGGAAATAGCATGCAGGAATACAGTCGTTTTCAGACTAGCCAGGCTATTGCATGTTCAGTATCAATTCTAAACGATGCTCTTTCAGAAGCACCGCGTTGGAACCGTGAGCAGAACTGCTACAAAGTTACGAGTCCCTAGAAGGTTGTAGCACATGGTCTTTTTGGCATTCAACGTCGGAGTTTATATGGTGTGTCAACCCTTGGCAAAGTTGCGGTTTGATGTGTTCGTTCACCACCTAAGTAATGCGAGGAAGGAAAAAATCAATGGATTATCAAAACAACAGCTGCAAGTTTTCCAATCACATCGTGACAAGAAAATTATGACATCCCTCGTTGTAAACCTTGATGCTGTATTTTGAAGGTCGTTATTCTCAGACCTTTTTCTCTTTATTGCATGAGATGCCTTGAAATCTTCAGTTGGTAATATCTGCCTTTTACTTGCCTAGCCCAAGCAGATGATACGAGGTAACTCACTTTGTAATCATATGATACGATGTTTTCTGACATCCAACTCTTGGTATTCAAGAAATTGCTAAACACCGAATTGGGTGATTCGGTTATGTACTAAGACAAACTCTGGGTATGTGGGTACTGGTTTGGAACCCTGTAATGCATGTACACAGCATTTTCTAATATGAGTGTGCATCTATTTGATTTGCAGCAAACTCGCTACTTATTCATTTGTGTGTTCAAAAAATAGAATTAGTAATCATTATTCTGTCTCGTCAGATAGGTTGTGCCAAACACATGAACGTTTGAGTGTTTTATTTATTATTATATTTGTATTTATTTTCATTTTTAGATTTGCTCAAACCCTTATTTAGAATTAATAGATTTATTTTGAAGGGGTGTATTGTGGATATAATGGATCCTATGTTGCTTTGCTCTACATTTTGCAATTGGAGTCATAATTCAAAATAGATCAGAGATATTGACTAAATCATAGATTAGGATTTTGTTGGATTAATCTAAATAGATACTTAGCAATGTATTTAATTTGGCATTAGTTCAAATATATTGTAGTAGTATCTAACAATCACAAATAGAACTAGGACAATACATCAATAAGATATACTTTTAACAATGGTTGATATTCTAAAAATAGAAATTTTAATGGATGATAGTTGTGGAGAGATTGTTTAATTAAAGGCATGATCATAGATAAAGTAACTTTAATAGATCCATTCAATTCAATTGTTGGTGATGAGCTTCTGAAAGACTTTACACATAATTTAGGAGATTTGTTTCTACTTAATTTCAATTATATTTTAAAAGTTGGTGTGAAAGAAATTAAATAAAAAATTGAATACCTTATGCAATTTGTAGTAGTTTTAAGATTTGTAGAATGCAAGCTTTCAAACTTTGCTATAGAATATTAGTTTTTAAAAATTGCAATAGAAAATATACTATAGTCCCTAAATAAATTGTATTTTTAAAAGAACTTCTTAAGCAAATTACTTTAGTAGGATTAGTAAAAAAACTACAACTTATAAATCTATATAAGTGAAGTATGTTCAATGCAAGAATAGATCATAGATTTCAATTTATTTACCTTCACCCTATCTCAAACATAAAATATAATTTCTACTTAGATTAGGTTCTAAAATATGCTTGAAAAATTAAAGACATTCAACAACTTTATAATAAAAGAACATTGTGTACTATTAGAAGAAGATAACAACAATAGGATAAATAAAAATCCTTGTTTTTACATCATTGTTGATATTACAAGAAATTGATAGCTCTATTTTAGAATGACTATCACTATGTGCCTATTAAGTGTACATATTTCTTAAACACCATCTATAAAATTTAAGTAATTTAACTCTTAGTAAGGTTGAAATCTTCAAGACTTCAACATCTTCAAACTACGTAAACAATAAGAAATTAGATTAAAGAAGAAAATACCTTATATAATAATTTTGATGATGGTTTTATTGTTGTTTGTAATAGATATTTTTTTTGATATGACATCTCAACAAATAACAAATATTTTAAATAAGAAAAAAATGCACTATATCAAAGGTAATGCAATTGTTGTAGCAACATATAACTATTTTTGAAGTGGAATTAATAAAACATTTTCAATTGGTGAAATTGGATCATTATAAACACCTTTACATTGGATAGAAAAAAAAGTAGAGAGATTCAAAACTATTATTTTTATTAACTTTTCTATTTGTAATTAAGTAAACTAAAAGTGCAATTTCTTTGTGAGGGCTACAATGCACAACAACATAAAGCATTCTTAAACACTTCTAAACAATAAGTGTGAAGAGGAATATTAAAAATAAATTTAACAAATTCCATATATATAAATATATAAATATAAATATAAATATATAAATATAAATATACTAATTCTTTGGAAATAATAGGGTCTACTATATTGTATTTTTAAGTGTTATAAGATTAAAATATCTATTAAAAGTGCCAAATGTTTTTCAAAATCCTATCTTATATTACTTTAGAAAAATAAATAAACCACACTTTGTTAGAATTTAGTACTAAAAAGAAACAAGTTGGAGTATTTACAATGGATTAACTACATAATTCTTTCATCAATCCAACAAAAACCTTAGCATCTCCAACAACTACAAGCAATCAACATACAAATATCAATAATTATAGATACCTTATAAGATCAAATAACATCCAAAAACCTCATTTCAAGGCTTAAAGAAGATACAAGATATGTACATTAACAACAAATAAATAAAAATTCTTATTACTTTGTACAACTTTGTTTTAATTATATTGCTACTTGTAAAGCACTTCAGGAGTCTTTTTGATATCATAAGAAACTCAAATTGTATATAAAGGAAATAAAAATATATAAAAATTACAAAAAATAAGATTCGTAAGTATAAAAATAGAAGAACCACCTAATATGCCCCACCTTGTCTCCATCTTTATTTGCTATTTGTTGCAATCATCTACTTTATAGTAGAAGATTTAGACATTCTACCAACAATTAAATGTAGTTTGTTCCTACTTGCTTTATAAGAATAGATCCCACAAATCTTTTTGTACATCAAGATGATTTATATTATATGTCTATTATAAAAAATCTAGATTTTAATCTAAATTCTAACATCAATATTTATAATATAGATGAACTAGAGTCAAAATAGTGTGTCAATACAAAAAAGGAACCACTAGCATTATTTGCCATATTTATTAATCTAATCAATCCAAATATGTCACAAAGAATACAAAAAATCTTTTATCAAACAAAAATACCTTAATAAGAGTTACATTTTAGGCAAGCCATTCCACTTATACCACAAGGCTAAAATTCAACATTAGTAGTATAGGCAAGTACCAATTTTCTATTTATGACATATTCTAATTTTGATGTAGGAAATAAAAAAATGAAATTAAAAAGAAAAAAAAAAACAAAAAAAAAACATGATTTTTTTTTTTTAAAACATCTTGTAAAAATCATCTTTTTATATTAAAATAAAACTAGAAAGTGAAAGGCTAAAAACATTTTTAGATTTCTCATTACACAAGATTTTTTATTACATATAAAACATAAAAAATTATACCTTTTTTTTTTTTTTTTTTTTTTTTTTTATGATGGGACCTATTAGATATAATTACCAATTCTCTTTTGAAAAATAAATAAATTATGCATTACTTATATAATTTAACAAGGCTTCAGAATCCTTTGAAGGTTATTCAATTTAAGAATTCAACTTTTTTATCTTCAGTAAACATCATAAAATATTCTACTTGTATGAGAGTAAAAATTGATTAGCATTAATGCAAACAACCTAAGTTATTATTTTTAGAGAGAAGAAATTTTTATATTTTAAAAAAAACTTATAAATATAATTATTTTATCAGAACAAGAAGAAGAGAAATTTATATACTTATTAGTTTTTTTATTAAACAACTCTTATCTTCTATTTAATCTTTATTGCATAAAAAAATAGATGTATTTGAATTATTTTATAAATTAAATTAAAAATTCTTATGCAAAAAAAAATATAATGAAAAATAATTTAACTATGGTAGGACTTGTATTCTTTTGTACTAAAAACATTCAATTGAATATTCGATGTTTACTAGAATTTAATTAAAAATATTGAAGATAAATTATGCTATAGCACAACTATTTCTATCATAAAACAAATCATTTGGAAAGATATAAAATGGCACTTGGATTTGGAAGACCATTGTGCTTATATCAAAGTAACATATTTTTATTATAAAATAAATAAATTATACATGAATTTTGAAAACTTTTCAATGGATTTTATGTCTCTCATCATATAATTTATAACTTTAAGAATTTAGAATAAAAAATCAAAGAAGAATCTTTTTTATCAAACCATCACCTGGTAAACTACTTTATATAAAAATTCTTCTTTAAAAGATTTCCATAAAATTATAAACTTAATCCTTAATTCTTAAAAAAAAAGATGAAATTTATAATTCAAATAATGTAGAATAAAATTGGTACCTTGTACTTTATTATATAAATTATAAGAATCATTTAATTTTGTAGATACCATTAAAAGATAAGAAATCAATAATAAAAATAAGATAAACATGCTTATAAAATAAGATCAGATTAAATATGTATTTAATCATCTTCTAATTTTTTAAAAGTTTCAGTTGTAAAAAAAAGTTTAAAAATTCTATCAAGAAGTTTTAAAAAAAAATTCAATAATCCTTTAAAATAATTTTATAGACATGATCTAGGATTATATAGATATCAATTAGAAATTGATATTTAAAAAAATATTTAATATTATTGAAATTTAATCTAAAATTAGAATCCATAGCTTAAAAAATTAAAATTAAAAAGTAAAATATAAGACTAGGGTAATTGTACAAATAAGACTACAATTCTACTCTAATTTGTATAGTAAATCAAAATAATTTAAATTTAGCAAAGATCACTTATTTCCATAATAAATATCCATCTCAGAATGTTAAGAGAAAAAGTCAAAAACTTTGTGCAAGTAATTTCCTTGATTGATATATTGAATCTTGTTAGAAACATTTCAGCAAAAAATAAATTACTGAATTTAGAAATATTTGGAATTATAATTTTAAAAAATCATATAAAAACAACAAAAAAAACATTATACAACTTTTTAGGCGATTTTTAAGCAATATTAGCATTTTTATAGGACAAAGGATTCTAATCAATCTCTTTTAAAATATGAAAAAAATAAAAAATAAAAAATAAAAATAAATTATTATTATTATTTTTAGCTATTATTTAATTATTCTATTACTTCCTAGAAATAAGATTCTTATTAATGTCATTTAAAAAATATTTAATTAATATTATAAAAAATTATAAATAATTTAAAAAAATCTTTCATAATTTTTTTGATATATATATATATATATATATATTAAATTTATAT